ACATGTCACACCTAAGAAACCTCGCTCGTTCATTGTTTCAGTCCAAATGTCCAATCTGAGACAAATATTGTTAATCTTTGACAAAATTTAGCTTTAGCTATAGTTACACAAGCTTCATATTTTTTGTGGGTCATCTTTTTAAATAAACTGCACTAAGTAGGTACCTTTAAATTAAGTTGAAGCACGTTCAGAAGGCGTAAAAATCCTTCCTCCTTCCACAATGTAGGAAGGCAATAATTGCAAACTAAAACCGCTAAACTGCACTATTTTGTTGTATTTTGAACCTCCCTCCAAAATAGATATATCTATTATATTCAATAAAGAAAAAGTACTAGAAATAATTTATTTTCCTTATTGGCCGAAACTTGTAAAAATGCGTCTTCTAAAGTCCTTTGTGGAGGTATGTTACTATCCGTACTAGCATCAAAAAAACTTTTCATTCCAACATGTTTTCTAATTTAGAACCGCTAGATGTTGATGGCTGTTAGATATCCAACTCAAGTTCATCAATAGACTTCACAAAATATCCTATATCTTCATAAATATACGTTCTGTGACTTTGGGAAGTGTTTACACTTTTGATAATTCGATTCTATACGAGTACTTTATTTCGAAATCAAGTACATATTTGTTTCGAAAGAACGATTCAATTACCAAAGTACTCGGTATGGAAATCAAAAGAATGGAATACCTACTTGTATTTACTTGTATCGAATAATCCCTAACCGAGAGAGTCATCTGAACCACATTTTACAGCCAAACTCTAGACATAATAGTTGCTAACTTTTGATGACTTTGATGTTTGGGGTTCGTAGATTGTTTAAAAACCTTGTTCTGAACCTGCCGGAAAAATCAACATATAAACAATCAAATATTTAAACAAACGGATAGTTCCTTATGTAACTATCACTTTTGGAAGAAGTGGTTTGTCCGTATAACCCTGCTGGTCGACTTATCGAATAAAAGCGACACGTGTTTGTCCAATTATGAAGCAACGCTCTTGAAAATCGAGCAATCAAGGTCGGGAGCAGAAAAAAATGAATGAAATTGAAATGCAACGGTACTCGTTCGGTACTCGGTTCCTTGAAAACCGTCGTTTACTCTTCGGTTATTTAAGCCAAAAAAATCCGTTTGTAACAAGCGAATAATTAATAAAAATAGGACTCAGATTATCCGCACTTGATCAAATAGTCCCAACCAGTTTCCTTTGGATCATACACGACGCTCTCTTCGGCTACCAGTAAAATACCTGGTAGTAATCGTCAAGGTAATTAAAATTATACTTAGCAGGTGAATTTTATATTTGTTTTATTGATTTTTAATGGTTTTGACCTTCAAGCGCAGATGACATTGTTTGTAGTTATTAGGAAGTATAATTCTGTTTACTTAATCTGGGAACGCGCAGCGCCGACGACGTATCGGATAATTGCATTTCGAATTTATTCAAAAACCAATTTAGTGAAAATACCGTTAATAATCGAAGGTCAATTAGGTGAATTTTTCAATAACAAAAAAATTTCAGTAATTTGCCTTATAAACAATAGTCGATTGAATTATTGGGTTGGCTAGAAAGGAATTTCAAAAACTAACTAATCAGTCCATAATATATTTCTTTCTGTTCAATGACTTTTGGCCCTCTTTCGGGTAACTTCAAGATCCCGCGAGTATAGAATTTCGGGTCCTTAGCAGCAAAAAATTCAACCAGTTCGATTTAAGGTCATCGTTACACCGAAATTTTGTTAAACTTCGAAATGATAATCCGATGGTGCGAGGTCGGGACTGTAAGGGGGAAGCGACCTCACTTGCGAATCAGGCTCTAATGGCTGCTAAAGGTGTGTGAGGTCTTTGCGATTTGCCGATTCTGGCCTTTCTTCTTTGATTGCTTCCTCCAGTTTCACAAGTTGTTAGCAGTAAACATCAGCTCAAAATACACAGGTTTTGCTTTATACACGGCTTTTTTATTGCAGCTCAGCTTCTGATAGGGTTTGTTCTTGGTCCATCATCTTTTTCGATAATCGCTACAGACAAAAACCTTAATAACTTACGAACCCTTGACAAAATTCTAATGAAACAAAACGCGTTTGAACGATGATTTGTTACGAATAATTTAAACAAAAATGAAGCTCAAATCATTTGGTTTGACAGACATTTTTTAATTCTTCTAGAATCCTTTGCACGATCGGCTTTGTGGTAGCTTTGTTGATTTTCCGGCGAAAGAATTCCACTTTTCTTTGAATTCTGGAGGGTTTTAGCTTCTTTTTTCGTTTCTTGCAAAGCTCTTTTTACCAAGGCCTAATATCGTTCGATTGGGTGAAGTTCTGGATGGATTGGGCACCCTTCTGCATCTCTCATGCAGTAGTGACACGAAGCCAAGCCTGACCAAAAGAAAGTTGCGACTTTATGTTGTTTCATGAATGGCAACAATCTTTTTTGGACACACTCTTTTACGTAAATGTCGGTGTTTATCGTCCCATTCGATACAATTTTTTTGGCGATACGAAATACGATTTGCTGCGCTTGCCAAAGCTGCACAAGGCTTGCCAGACGATAAACTTCTTGGGAAACTTTGACTTTTCATTAGTCCTCCGCGCTCACGTTCTGGATAAAACTCTTGACCCGGAAGTGTGGGAGAAGTCACAAAGAACCTACGTTTCGTCATCTATCAGACAGCAATATTTTTGCAAAAATCAGTGCTCAATTCGAGCCCTTTTTTTGCTTCCAGATTCTGGTCTGTCTGGTGTCGTCTGAATTTGATAAGTCTTGACTTGCAACCAACTTTATTATCCATTTTCCGATTGGATAACCGAGGATTCGTCTCCAATTTCTCGATAACTTTCTTCACTGTTTGTGAGCGTGTAAATCCATTTTTCCAACGTTTGTTCTATGAACGTTTACGTCTGTGGCAATTTTTGGATGGTGGGTCCACGATGGATTTTCACAAAAATTTCGAATTAGTAATTCACGCACTTCTAAGTCAGATATCATTTCTCTACTAAAATACAGGGTTATTCACGCTATACGGCACGGAAGGTTGCGGCTAAACCGTTTGATTTTTAAAAAGTATTATTTTATGAATTGTCCGACGCCTACCGAGCGCACATTTTAGAAATATTTTTGTAATGTACAGGGTGGCCCAAAAGCTCTAAATGTATCAAAGTTGCGTTTTTTTTAATGGAATGTCTTGTATATTATTGCATTTTTGGATTCGCTGAACAAAATAAGTGTCTGTTTTAATAAGGTTTATAATACCTAAATCTTAAGGTTTTTTAAATAATAC